CGTCCTCGCAAAAATCATAGTCCTCAAGGTTAATCATCGTCCTCAAGGTTAAGATCATCGTCCCAAGGCGGTAAAATCATCCGCCTCAAGGTGTTAAATCATCGTCCTGGGTAAAACCATCGTCCTCAAGGTAAAAATCATCGTCCCGAGGGGTAAAATCATCGTCCCTGGCAGGTAAAAATCATCGTCCCCCAGAAAATCATCGTCCTCAAGGGTAAAATCATCGTCCCAAGGGAAAAATCATCGTCCCTAGGGTTAAAATCATCGTCCAGTAAAATCATCGTCCGAGGGGTAAAATCATCGTCCCTGGCAAAATCATCGTCCTCAGGAAAAATCATCGTCCTCAAGGGTTAAAAATCATCGTCCCTGAGGGGTTAAAATCTTTGTCCTCAAAGGTTAAAATCATCGTCCTGCGGGTAAATAATCATCGTCCCTGGCGGGTTAAAATCATCGTCCCTCAAGGTAAAATCATAGTCCTCAAGGGTATAATCATCGTCCTCAAGGGTTAAGATCATCGTCCCGGGTAAAATCCTCAAGGTGTTAAATCATCGTCCTCGAGGGTAAAATCATCGTTCTGGGTAAAAATCATCGTCCTCGTAAAATCATCGTCCTCATAAAAATCATCGTCCTCAAGGTAAAATCATCGTACCAAGGGTAAATCATCGTCCCGGGGGTAAAATCATCGTCCTCAGGTAAAATCATCGTCCTCGGGTTAAAATCATCGTCCTCAAGGGTAAAATCATCGTCCTCAAGGGTAAAAATCATCGTCCTCAAGGGTTAAAGATCATTGTCCTCAAGGTAGTTAAATCATCGTCCTCAAGAGGGTTAAATCATCGTCCTCAAAGGGTTAAATTCATCGTCAAGGTAAAATTCATCGTCCAGGAGTTAAAAATTCATCGTCCTCGAAGAGTTAAAATTCATCGTCCTCAAGGTGTTAAATCATCGTCCTCAAAGGTTAAAATTCATCGTCCTCAAGGGGTTAAAATTCATCGTCCTCAAGGGTTAAAATCATCGTCTCAAGTTAAAATTCATCGTCCTCAAGTTAAAATTCATCGTCCTCAAGGAGTTAAAATTCATCGTCCTCAACGAGTTAAAATTCATCGCCTCAAACCCAACGTCTCAAGGTTAAAATTGTCCTCAAACGGGTTAAATCATCGTCCTACGGATTAAATTCATCGTCCTCAAGGTTAAAATTCATTGTCCTCAAGGGGTTAAAATTCATCGTCCTCAAGGGGAATCATCGTCCTCGGTTAAAATTCATCGTCCTCAAAGTTAAAATTCATCGTCCTCAACGAGTTAAAATTCATCGTCCTGGGGTTAAAATTCATCGTCCTCAGGGTTAAAATTCATCGTCCTCAACGAAAATTCATCGCCTCGGGTTAAAATTCATCGTTCGCGTTAAATTATCGCCTCATAAGAGTATTCAATGTCTCAACGAGTTAAAATTCATCGTCCTCGGGGTTAAAATTCATCGTCCCTGCGGGTTAAAATTCATCGTCTCCACGGGTTAAAATTCATCGCCCTCAAGGTTAAAATTCATCGCCTCAAGGGGTTAAAATTCATCGTCCTCAACGAGTTAAAATTCATCGTCCTCAACGAAGAAATCATCGCCCTCAAGGGTTAAAATTCATCGTCCTCAACGAGTTTAAAATTCATCGTCCTCAAGGAGTTAAAATTCATCGTCTCCAAGGTTAAATCATCGTCTCAAGGGGTTAAAATTCATCGTCCTCAAGGAGTTAAAATTCATCGTCCTCAAGGAGTTAAAATTCATCGCCTCAAGGTTAAAATTCATCGTCCCAAAAATCCTCGGTAAAATCGTCCTCAAGGTTAAAATTCATCGTCTCAAGGGGTTAAATTCATCGCCTTGGGTTAAAATTCATCGTCTCAAGCAGTTAAAATTCATCGTCCTCAACGAGTTAAAATCATCGTCCTAGGGGTTAAAATTCATCGTCTCAACGAGAAAATTCATCGTCCTCAAGGGGTTAAAATTCATCGTCCTCGGTTAAAATTCATCGTCCTCAAGGAGTTAAAATTCATCGTCCTAGGCGGTTAAAATTCATCGTCTCAAGGGGTTAAATTCATCGCCTCAAGGGTTAAAATTCATCGTCCTCAAGGGTTAAAATTCATCGTCCTCAAGGTAAATCGTCCCGGGTTAAAATTCATCGTCCTCAAGGTGTTAAATCATCGTCCTCAAGGTGTTAAATCATCGTCCTCAAGGGGTTAAAATTCATCGTCCTCAAGGGGTTAAAATTCATCGCCCTCAAGGGGTTAAAATTCATCGTCCTCAAGGGTTAAAATTCATCGTCTCAAGGGGTTAAAATTCATCGTCAAGTACAAATGTGGTATACCCCCCCTTTCACAACACTACACAAGACCGGGCTAGAGCAGGTGTGGTGTAGTATGGTATGGTATGGTATGGTGTGGTATGGTGTGGTATGGTATGGTATGGTATGGTATGGTGTGGTATGGTATGGTATGGTATGGTATGGTATGGTGTGGTGTGGTGTGGTGTGGTGTGGTGTCAGCCAGCCAGAACTCCACGGTGTTTACATATCGAATTTTAAAATCGATCCGACGGTAATTTTATAACAACGAAGGGAAATAAGACTACTATGATCTGACAGTGACTGGTGATGGTGACAGTGACTGGTGATGGTGACAGTGACTGGTGATGGTGACAGTGACTGGTGATGGTGACAGTGACTGGTGATGGTGGAGTGACTGGTGATGGTGACAGTGACTGGTGGTGGTGACAGTGACTGGTGGTGACAGTGACTGGTGTTGGTGACAGTGACTGGTGATGGTGACAGTGACTGGTGATGGTGACAGTGACTGGTGATGGAGGACTGGTGATGTGAGGACTGTGATGGTGAGTGACTGGTGATGGTGGCAGTGACTGCGATGGTGACAGTGACTGGTGTGGTGACAGTGACTGGTGATGGTGACAGTGACCGGTGATGGTGGCAGTGACTGGTGAGTGACTGGTGATGGTGGAGTGACTGGTGATGGTGGCAGGACTGGTGATGGTGGCAGTGACTGGTGATGGTGGCAGTGACTGGTGGTGGTGACAGTGACTGGTGGTGGTGACAGTGACTGGTGACAGTGACTGGTGATGGTGAATGATTGGTGATGGTGACGGTACTGGTGATGGTGACTGGTGATGGTAAGTGACTGGTGATGGTGGCAGGACTGGTGATAGTGAGTGATTGATGATGGTGACAGTGACTGGTGATGGTGACAGTGACTGGTGATGGTGACAGTGACTGGTGATGGTGACAGTGACTGGTGATGGTGGAGTGACTGGTGATGGTGACAGGACTGGTGGTGGTGACAGTGACTGGTGGTGGTGACAGTGACGTTGGGACAGTGACTGGTGATGGTGACAGTGACTGGTGATGGTGACAGTGACTGGTGATGGTGACAGTGACTGGTGATGGTGAGTGACTTGTGATGGTGGAGTGACTGGTGATGGTGGCAGTGACTGGTGATGGTGACAGGACTGGTGATGGTGACAGTGACTGGTGATGGTGACAGTGACTGGTGATGGTGGCAGTGACTGGTGAGTGACTGGTGATGGTGAGTGATGAGTGGCAGTGACTGATGGTGGCAGTGACTGGTGATGGTGGCAGTGACTGGTGGTGGTGATGACTGGTGGTGGTGACAGTGACTGGTGACAGTGACTGGTGATGGTGAATGTGGTGATGGTGACTGGTGACTGGTGATGGTGGCGTGACTGGTGATGGTGAGTGATTGATGATGGTGACAGTGACTGGTGATGGTGACAGTGATTGGTGATGGTGGTGACTGATGATGGTGAGTGACTGGTGATGGTGGCAGTGACTGGTGATGGTGGTGATTGATGATGGTGACAGTGACTGGTGATGGTGACAGTGACTGGTGATGGTGGTGACTGATGTGTGGTGACTGGTGATGGTGAGTGACTGGTGATGGTGACGACTGGTGGTGGCGACAGTGACTAGTGGTGGTGACAGTGACTGGTGGTGGTGACAGTGACTGGTGATGGTGGTGACGGATGGTGACAGTGACTGGTGATGGTGACAGTGACTGGTGATGGTGAGTGACTGGTGATGGTGAGTGACTGGTGATGGTGACAGTGACTGGTGATGGTGACAGTGACTGGTGATGGTGACAGTGACTGGTGATGGTGACAGTGACTGGTGATGGTGGCGGTGACCGGTGATGGTGGCAGTGACCGGTGATGGTGACAGTGACTGGTGATGGTGACAGTGACTGGTGATGGAGTGACTGGTGATGGTGACTGGTGATGGTGACTGGTGACGGTGACAGTGACTGGTGACAGTGGTGGTGACAGTGACTGGTGATGGTGACAGTGACTGGTGATGGTGGAGTGACTGGTGATGGTGACGGTGACCGGTGATGGTGGCAGACCGGTGATGGTGGCGGTGACTGGTGATGGTGGACTGGTGATGGTGACTGGTGATGGTGAGTGACTCGTGATGGTGACTGGTGATGGTGACTGACTGGTGATGGTGACTGGTGATGGTGACTGACTGGTGATGGTGACAGTGACTGGTGACAGTGACTGGTGATGGTGGTGACTGGTGATGGTGACTGGTGATGGTGACAGTGACAGGTGATGGTGACTGACTGGTGAATATAAAGAGCCAGCCTTCTCATCGTTAACATAATACACACAGTATTTAGCTAATCCCAACACTCCCCCACCCAGTAAGGCTAAACGACGACACTTGGCCGCTAACCTGTTACATAACCATGGCAACCTGCAACAATACAGTATGTTGCAATTTACCTTCGAATGAGAGTCACCATTACCAACCAGGCTCTGCAACCATACCATCATTACGTAACTCTAACACTTATGTACCCAAACTGACGTGAGAGAATGCACAAACACACTTACCTGGGCAGGATTCGAACCCACACTACACCCTGGCCCCCCACCACCACTACCTGCCCTTATCCTCCTCATACCCCCTACCCTCACAGTGGGTCCTTACCTTAGAGTTGAGGAGCTCCTCGAGTCTGACCTTAACGTCATGGCCTCCCTTGGGTCGCATCAGGAGGTAGATGGAGACAAGCCCTGGGCAGGACCTGAGCAGCTTCTCCACCAGCACCTTCCCCATGAAGCCAGTGGCCCCGGTGATCAGGACGCTCCGGTCCCGGTAAAAGTCTGCTACAGCGCTCATCTTCGCGGCCTCCACACTAACTCACTACCGTACACTTATCAACGACAGGCGCCTCAGTCGTTAGGTCATGCAGGGAGGATGTTTGTCCCACCTTCAAGTTTTTGTTCACTTGTGATATTAATGAGTTACTTTTTTGTGCTACAATATTTAATTCTTTAGTGAGCGAATTTCCTTATTTTTTTTTTGCAAATTTACGAATCGTTTATTTCATCATTTCCAAGTGTTTCCTGAGGTAAACAACAGTGGTACTTCTCGTCCTTTGTATCACGAGTGTGTCCTGACAACCACTTAACAGCCGTCTGAGTGTTACTTCAGTTTGGGGGCGGTGGACGAATTTGGGGGAGAGAATTAGCGTGGGATAATATCATGGGAGACAGACGAATTGATTGGTAGAAAGAGAGAATCAGTAACTTAGTCTCTTCTCGGAGCAAAACAAGAGAGTATAATGACAGATATCCTTTCACGTGTTGTGGGAGAGGTGGGGAGGAGACACGATAACATATGTTGTCGCAGGCTGTGTGGAAACCAACTTCATATGCTTCTCACAGTTCAAGGAAAAGGACAGAGGATGATTCGTTAACCTGTCACGGGCCAAAAGACAGACAGACAGACACTTAGTACACTGCCACGGGTCGAAGGAAAGACAGACAGACAAGAATTGATAAGCTGTCGAGAAGTTAGGGGAGTGTCAGTGGATTATGGTTTGCTGCCACAGGTTGAGGGAGAGTGAGAGAGCACGTTGGTATCTTCTCACTGCCCAAGGTACACTGCATCACCCCAGCTGCCACGACCTTCAACACAATCTCTCCGGCGGTCACTTCAGCAAAGTCCCTTGAAGAGAACTTTATGGATGTCGAATCTCATGATTCGGAATGCTCAATCTTACGGTGTGTGAGGAGGGGAGGGGTTCAGGTCTCTGTGATCTTGGAGTGTGATCTTGGGCGGTTATCTTAAGGGCTCTGATCATGGAAGCGTGGATGTAGTAGTGGCTAATCTCTCGTGTGATCTTGGGATGATCTTGTGTTGATTTTGGAAAAGTGGAAACAGGCTGAGATCTTGTCTGATTTGTATATGATTATTATTATTATTTTTTTTGTACTATGGTCCGAGTTTTTTTTTTCTTCACTCTCTCCCTATGATCTTGAAGTCGTGATCTCTTACCACTTCACTGATGTTCTTGGAGGCTGTTATCTTAAGCTGTTGTTGTTATCTCGTCTTGTGATCATAGAGTGGTCTTAAAATCTCACTATAGGGAGGGAGGGGGGGGGGACAGGCGGCAGGAGTGAGTTGGATAAACACACTGCCTTGGCACCTCGTATGTAACGATGGCAATGGTCGTGCGGGTCTTGGTAGTTACCCTGGTTGGTTAAAGGAAGGGGTGTCGTTGCTTCAGGTTCTTTCGTCGTTGTTCAACACGACCTGGGGATTGTCGTCCAGGTCTTCTCGTTGCTCTACACACGACCTGCCTGGGAGGTGTCGTTACTGTCTGGATGTGTCGCCTAGAGCCTCCTCTGTCACGTCTCCATTTTCCCTGTAAAGACAAAGTTATCAACAATCAATTTATATAAAAAATTAAAGATTTCATAATATTTTAAATTATATAAAAATGTCTTTTTACCCTCCACACGTCATCAATCCTACCCACACGTCACCACTTTTACCCACACGTCATCAATCCTACCCACACGTCATCAATCCTACCCACACGTCACCACTTTTACCCACACGTGTCACCAACCCTACCCAAACGTTTCACCAACCCTACCCACACGTGCACCAACCCTACCCAAACGTGCACCAACCCTACCCACACGTGTCACCAAGCCCAGGCCTCCCCACGACCACACCACCAATCGTCACCGGAGACTCAGACACGGAGACCCTCTCAGTAAACGCCCGCCATAGCAATGTTTACACTTTCCCCTTTCGCGTAACCTGAAGGTGGTCTCCCAAGGTTCGTTCGTCAAGCATCCACTCCACCCCAACCGCTGCTAAGAGACGTGGGGGGGGGGGGGCGCATCTAAATCACTCGGTTACATACCTATACAAAGACAACGACTACAATGGAGTCAAAAGTACACTGATACTCTATTGTTCAAAGGAATATTACCTGGGCGTTCAATGGAATACTAAAAGACGTTGAACGATACTTGAGCCGACTGTTCAACGAAGCTTCAATTATTACGACACTTTACCTTCTCCACTACAGATAAAGAGTTTCTATTTTATATCTAAACTGCAATATTTATTATCACCTTGTTGACAGAAGTGAAAATAACCAAGATGCTGTTAAAATAATCTTATAATGGTGAAAGTCTCTTAGATGCTGAGTAAAAATATCATGAGATCCTCCCTTAGAAATGTTCGTTGTTATTGTAAGGGGGGGGGAGGGCATCACGTTAAAGGGAGAGGGCCATCATGTTATAGGGAGAGGGCCATCATATTATAGGGAGAGGGCCATCATGTTATAGGGAAAGGCCATCATGTTAAAGGGAGAGGGCCATCATGTTAAAGGGGAGGAGGGCCATCATGTTAAGGGGAAAGGCCATCACGTTAAGCCTCTCTCATCTCCCCCACCCCCCAGGCCTCCAACCACGTCAGTACCTACCTCCCTACACTACCTGCCCCACCAACAACAGAGGGCCGAGGTATCAAAATTTCACCTCCAACAGAACAGCTAAACTTTATCAGTTATTTTACTCAGATATGATGCTAAACTATTTTATCCTAACGATGAATATTTACAGTAAGGTGAGGTGAGGTGAGGTGAGGTGAGGTAAGGTAAGGTAAGGTTAGGTTAGGTTAGGTTAGGTTAGGTTAGGTTAGGTTAGGTTAGGTTGGGTTAGGTTAGGTTAGGTTAGGTAAGTAAGGTTAGGTTAGGTTGGTAAGGTTAGGTAAGGTTAGGTTAGGTTAGGTTAGGTTAGGTTAGGTTAGGTTAGGTTAGGTAAGGTAAGGTAAGGTTAGGTAAGGTTAGGTAAGGCAAGGCAGGGCAAGGCAAGGTTAGGTTTGGTTATTAATTAGTGGCGTAAGTTAATCTACGAGAATAAGAGCTAAAAGAGTAAACGGGGAGAGAACGTTTACACCACAAGAGCTATACGTGGGTACTGTGGGCCACTGTGGTACAACCTTACAGAGCCGAGCCGAGCCAGCCTGGCTTCTTTAGCCTGCTTCTTTAGCTACAACCTAACCTAACCTAACATACCTAACAACACATACAACACAACACCCTGCCCTACCTACCTACCTAACCTAACCCAAGCACAGCATTTTTGCACAATACAGCAACACTGGCATTTTTTGCATGCTATTTTGTTTTTGCATAACACAGACATTTTGCATGCATATAACAGCACATACCTAACCTAACCTAACCTTTACACTTACCCTACCTAACCTAACCTAACATGCCCTGCCTAACCTACCTACCCTATCCTTTACATACCCTATCCTAACCCTAACAACACACAAACCCTACCCTACCCTAACCTACCCCTACCCCTACCCTAACCTACCCTACATAACTAACCTAACCTTTACATACCTAACCTAACCACTTTGTACCCTACCTAACCTAACCTAACCTTTTACACTTGCCCACTAACACAACCCTACCCTACCCTACCCTACCCTACCCTACCCTAACCTTTACATACCCTATCCTAACCTAACCTAACCTAACTTAACCTAACACTTACTAGATAACGGAAAGAAATCGGCAATGCTAAGCGAGAAACAAAACAACACAATTATGATATCCTACGCAGGAAATAATAACGTGTTAGGTTCCCTGAGAGCTGAGACACACAATCTAAGAGTGACTTCACCTGAGAGACGCACATAAAAAGAGCTACAGTAGTCAAGTGAACCCCAGTTGAAATAATGTCATCGTAACACACACACACACACACACACACACACACACACACACACACACACAGGATAACAAAAAAATATGTGCCGGTAACTGTATGTACTGATTTTTTTTCTTATGATTGTTTAAAGCGTTAACATATACATTTAACATATGTGAGATTAACATAAAATATATATATATATATTTTATGCCTTTCATTCTAAGGTGTTAATATTGTTGACTACGTTTGAATTTTTTTTTTAATAGTAAGTGGAGAAAATCTGGTGTTTATTTTTTTTCGGGTTTTCATTTCTTTTACAATTATTTCGGATTTTAATATTTTGTTCAAATTATTTCTTTTTTTTTTACAATTATTTCAGGTTTTCGTTTTATTTACATTTCGGGTTTTATGTTTTTTTTTTATAATTACGTTTTTTCATTTTTTTTTACAATTATTTCGGGTTTTCATTTTTCTAACAAGATTAACACAACAGGGAAGAAGAACGTGACTGTAACTACACACACAGACACACACACATATATATTTATCACTCCTATAGTGGCCTAGAGTTGATACAGAGTCACTATACTTGAGAGAGTGTCACTATACCGTATACAGAAGGGAAAAGTGTTAACGAAGATGAGATAACTCTGTTTAGTATTACTGTAGTGAAGAATGTCCACCGTAATCAACTGCTAACACTCCATAGGGCTTTCAATAACCTCCAACCTAATCTAACCTGACCTAACTTACCTTACCTAACCTAATCTAGTCTCACCTTATCTAGTCTAGTCTAACCCAACCTAGTTAAACCTAATCTAATAACCTACCCTCCAACCTAACCTAACATAACCTAACCTAACCTAACCTCTAACCTAACATAACCTAACCTCCAACCTAACCTAACCTAACATAACCTAACCTAACCTCCAACCTAACCTAACATAACCTAACCTAACATAACCTAACCTAACCTAACATAACCTAACCTAACATAACCTAACCTAACCTCTAACCTAACCTACCGTAGAGACAGTTAAATGGGAAGTTACAGAGGCACTATACACACGGACGACGGACCCCTGCTGCCTATACTTTTACAAACAAGTCCCCTTAAGGTCCCTATAAGTTAAATGGAGGACAGCTTCTAGTCTGTAGCTCCTGGTTAGGTTAGGTTATGATGAAACTACATGTTGTTGGTTATTAGGAATAGCATGTGCTTACAACAGTCAACTAACTCCATAAAATTACACCAATTGAGGACTAAAACGGAATGAAACACGTCGCTGGATATCCAATTATACTGTAGTCGCTAAGTAACCGAGTTTGTTTACATATTGTGTACCGAACGCCTAACAGAGATTCGCCTGAACACAGAGAAGCGAAAAAGGCCAAAATTCGGAGGTAATTTTGTAAATCTTATTCAGCCGTCGATCAATTTGTCGTAAATAAACACCGAGTATACTAATGAGTTCCTTATTATACAGGGCAGGTGACAGGTGGGTCAGTGGGAAGGCAGGTGGGTCCAGTGGGAAGGCAGGTGGGTCCAGTGGGAAAGCGTAGGGAAGGGGCGTGGGTACAAGGTTCCCTATACTAGTGAAAGGGACTGGGGAGCAGCTCGGGTGTACTGTAGAGATGCCGCCACCACCCTACAACACACCTTAACCCAGCATGGTAACCCACACCCCATTACACTGTTGTGGATCCCCTCTCACATAGGCCTCATAAAACATGACAGAGTTGATGCCCTCGCCAAACTCGCGTCTAACAAAGACACCGTTGAATACAATTTGGGTCTGTCAAAAAGAACCCTTAAAACTGTAATTAGGAAAGAACTTATTGATGAGTTTGATGCAAGTAGACTAGTGCAAACAAGCACTAGTCGATCCATAGTGTACCATGATGAGATGCATCAAGTGAAACATGTAAATGGAGCAAGTAACAAGATCGCTAGATTACAAGATGTTGTAACCGCTAGATTAAGGTTAGGATATAGGTACCTCTGGCAGTATGTTCCTCAAGCAGATGTAAACAAGACTAAATGTAAAGTGTGTGGCCAGACATATGGCCACACACTTGAACACTACGTCCTCGACTGTGTGAAGATAGAACCTTTTAGGGACAGGTCCAAGCACACTGTGTGTGAAATGGCACAACACTTCATCTCTAATGGCAAGATAGCCGACATATTAAGATTGTATCCACTTTTTTGCACTTAGTAGCTATATCAGTTCTTATGTACAGAACCAAATACGCAATGTGCTTGAATACTTCTCAAGTAAATGTGAATAACAAAGTGTGAGGCCAGACATACTGCCTCACACGCCTGTTCTCACGCATTTGTGAATAAGTTACCCTTTATGTATAGAACTAAACAAATAATGTAATTGAAATACTGAGTAACATTCAGTGCCATAATATCCTGACAACGGGGGTTAATTATTATGACCCTTTGTGAACTCTACTCTGTAATCCTTTTGCGCTACCGCTCACAGGATAAGTGTGGGATGCACAATAAAGTAGCCGCTGTAAGTGGCAAAATCAATCCCCACAACAGCCTATAACCCACGCTCCATTTAACGCCAACAACCACAAAGCTCCTAACATCTTGCACAATAAAAAACATCCAAATAACTAACAATTACTACAAAAAAATAAATAATAAAAATACTTCAAT